GGTGTCAAGCTATTTCCCCAATGTTCCTTGTTGCCTACTAGTCGTGAACGGCGATCGTCTATCTGCAGCAGTTAGAAACCTTGAATCCGACGGACTAGTTTTAAATCTGGCCAACACAAAGGTTGTCAACTTGCTTGAAACACCGCTCTCAACTAATAACGAGATTGCTGCCCTGATAGACAAGATTGATAAATGCATGAAGTTATGCGACCACGCCTTGTATCGATCGGAAATTCACACGAAACCAGAGGGGTCAAAATTCACGTTTGTCAAAATGATAGATGTGACGAGTTACCTGCATAAACTTCTGGCTAACGAAGTGCTACGTGACAAGCTGATTAAGCATTTTCAATCGGTCGATAGACTTCTGTCTCATCGAGCATGCGCCATAATTCACCAGATCAAATTTGACGTCGATCTTATCGAAGTATCACACTGTTATTGTTTCTCCATCATAGCACGAAAGTTCATCGTATGCCCCATCCCAGAATCCATGCGTGGAAAGCTGTCGCCAAGATCCTTCGTTCCACACGACTGTTCCAAACCGCCGAATCCTCGATATTTTCGGGATGGTATTATCAACTCCTTTCCCGATGACGACGTGCGAGCGCGGTTCTTGAATAAGTTATATCAGTGCCTTCTCGCGTTCAGCATACCGCACAAGGTGAGAAAATTGGTTGTGGTTGGCCCCAAAGATTCTGGCAAGACATCGTGGTCCAACATCTTCCATCGTGTCATTTCAGCCAGTTACATTGCGTCCCTCACCAACGAGAGACAATTCTCAGCTGCTATGATAAACAACGAGACTCAGCTTATCGTCGTCGACGAATGGTCGGCCAGTACAATGCAATCCCACCTCGCAAAGTGAATCCTTCAAGGCGGATGGATGGTCTCTGCAATGAAGCACGGCCTACCAAAAACGGTGTTGAACAACAGCCCCTTCTACATCACAACGAATAACCTTCCGAATTTTGGTAAAGAAGAAGACGAGAACGTGCAGCGCAGAATTGAGATCTTTACAACGACATCAATGCCTCAAACCCTACCAGGAATCGACAAGTGGATATACGACAACGCAATGCATTGCATTGCGTGGATAGCGGAAGGAATTCAAGCAAACCGCGAGCACATCGATTAACACGAGCTGTGGTACGAGCCAAATCACTCTGGACCGTTGACGATAGCTGCAAACGAAGGCGAAAGTCTGTTCAGGGAAGAACGCGTACGACGTATTTCCAATGCTGATTTGCGCCAGGACGTTGACGTCGGTGACGAACTGTCGCCAACAATCCACGATAGTTTTGCGGCGGAGTTACGTTCGCGACGTCTCGCGCGAAAGAGAAGAGCTGCTCGTGGAAGAGTAGACAGCTACGGGCATAGCAGTACCGAAGAGAACGAAGAGCGTAACGCACGAAAAGCATGCAAGAATGCCCGCCGACTGAAGGCAACGTTGTCACAGAATGCCCTCGAGCAAACTCAACAATATTAACAACTGACGAAAAATCCAACGAAGAAGGCACGATCAGAAGTGAAAGAGACAAAAGGGACAACGCCAACAAGGAAACAACACCGGTAACAGTGGAACAACATCAAGCATCGAACGAAGCATCCCCTGACGAGAACGAGACGAACAGCCACACTATTCACACCAATTCCCCTCCAGCAGGATGGGTATTGAACGACAAGTGGTATATCTCGCAAGTAGCATACTTAATAAGGTATGGCTTCCTAAATGTTCAAAGAGGCGAGCTGTACTCGTTTACTGCACGAAGAGACAAAGCCAAGTTAAGGCGCACAAGAGAAGAACGTGACTTCTGGACTATTGGTGACCCAAACATTGATGCTTGGATGTTGGTAACAGGGCAAACGTTAGATGTTTTTGACATCCAATCTTTTGTTCAACAGAACCGTGAAATCGTTGGAGAAATACGAGAAGTACGAAAGAATGTGAATCTGCTCGTTCTCAGAAGTCGATGCCCCCTCCAGAAAGCACTACAACAAATTGAAAGCCGCGAACGGGGAGAAGAAAACGCAGAACAAGTTGAAGTTCCATCGCAAACATATTGGACAACCTTTAAAAGCTGGAGACCGTGGTAAAAAATGCTTAAATAAAACAGTATTAAGTATATTATGGCTCACGTATCAGAGACAAACATAAAAACTTGTGAATTGTGTGTGTGAATTGTGATGAACGCATATTTTTCCGAAGTATTTCATATACGATCTATTGTAAAATATTATGTAGAATATAGTACTAAGCATATCATAGCTCATGTGTCAGCGACAAACATAATAACTTTTGTGTGAATTGTGCTGAATGCATATTTTTTAGAAGTATTTCATATTATATTGATCTATTGTAAAATATTATGTAGAAAAAAATTTACTAATTTCAAAACGAACAACCGGTTACCAAGATGAACATGTCATCATGTACGAACAGCTCGCCAACAAAAGTTTTAAAAAAATAATTTCAAATCATTTCAATTTTTTTCCTGCTTTTAATTGTCTTGCCATTAATAATTTTGTAAATAGAAAAGATCGTTGAGGTGACTGATCAGCAATAAGTTTACAAAACTTAATCGTATTTTTTTTAAATTTTATCGTGTGACCCACGGCCCATTGAAAACCAGTATCTCAGCTGAATAGCTATATGCGGCGTATAAATATTTTTACAGATTAAACGTGACATGTCAATTATCTGTGAACAAAGTCTGGATTCGAATTAGTTTTCTCACTTTGTAACGGGCTACGGGCTACCAATAGAAATCCCTATTAAAATGACGGGCTACGAACGGGCTACCTGTCAAAATGACGGGCTACACCTCTTGCTCGTAGCCCGGAGTTGAAATTTTTCTAAGTGTCCACTCGAATTAGTTTTCTCACTTTGTAACGGGCTACGGGCTACCAATAGAAACCCCTATTAAAACGACGGGCTACCAACGGGCTACCAACGGGCTACCAACGGGCTACCTCTCAAAATGACGGGCTACACCTCTTGCGGCATGGTAGCCCGGCGTTGAAATTTTTCTAAGTGTCCACTCGAATTAGTTTTCTCACTTTGTAACGGGCTACGGGCTACCAATAGAAATCCCTATTAAAATGACGGGCTACGAACGGGCTACCTGTCAAAATGACGGGCTACACCTCTTGCTGGTAGCCCGGAGTTGAAATTTTTCTAAGTGTACACTCGAATTAGTTTTCTCACTTTGTAACGGGCTACGGCCGCTACCAGCGAGAGGTGTAGCCCGTCATTTTGAGAGGTAGCCCGTTGGTAGCCCGTCCTTTTAATAGGGATTTCTATTGCTAGCCCGTAGCCCATTGCAAAGTGAGAAAACTAATTCGAGTGGACACTTAGAAAAGTTTCAACCCTGGGCTACCAGCAAGAAGTGTAGCCCGTCATTTTGAGAGGTAGCCCGTTGGTAGCCCGTCATTTTAATAGGGATTTCTATTGGTAGCCCGTAGCCCGTTACAAAATGAGAAAAGTAATTCGAGTGTACACTAGAAGAATTTCAACGTCGGGTTACCATGCAGGAACATGTAGTCCATGGATGAAATTTTTCTCCAAAGTTTTTTGCAGGCACCTTACGCTAAAGAACAAATTAACATCCGGTGCTTTTAATTGGGAATTAAGTAATATTCTGTAAAAAATCATTGCATTGTACATGAAAGATTTTTTACCATCCCCTACAATAAAGTCGTTACCCACTGTTAGTTTTAGTGAACTTAAACTGCACGAGCTTGGAAGATTTATTCACTAATATCATTGCCACTAGCGTGTATAGCAAGTCTGATTCTCTTCATGGACGATACAACGATTAGTGAGGCACTGGATGTTCACAATCATATCTCTGGCACGGAAATTGGTAATATACCCCAAAAAATTAATTCGGTAAAGAATTTTGCGGAAATTGAGAGAATGGAGTTAAACCCAAAAAAGTGCAAAGAGATGATTATCGACTTTCGAAAGGATAGAACAGCTATTCCTGCAACAGAAGTCGATGAATGCATCCTAGAAAGAGTAAGCTCTTATAAATTACTTGGATTGTGGTTAGACGATGATCTAAAATGGAGAACAAATACGGAATACATTGTCAAAAAGGCAGCTAAACGATTATATCTTTTAAAAATTTTAAAAGGATATAATGCTCCGCGAGATGACTTGAAAACTATTTATACTTCGGCAATTCGATCAATCGTAGAATATGGAGCTCAAATTTGGCATGGGAGTTTGACAGAGGAACAATCTAGGGATATAGAGAGAATTCAAAAGCGTGCAATGAAAATTATATGCCCGGAAAAGAATTATGAACAAGCATTAACTGAATGTGGTATTAAAACTTTGGAAAGTCGAAGAGAGTTAATGTGCATAAACTTGATAAAGGATATAAAGGACCCTTCACATAAACTCAATGATTTGCTACCACCAACTGTAGGTCAATTACGGGAGAGAGACACGAGACTTAATGTAAATAAAATTTACAATTTTAAATGCAGAACAGAGCGCTTTAGAAATAGTCCTCTAGTATATGCGATTCGTAAGTACAATCTCAAAATTGATGATTCTTAACTATTTTATTAGTTTCTTAATATTTAAAATATAGCTTTTGTAATTTACTTCTAGCTTTGTAATATAGATTAGAGTATGAATTATTGTAATTCTAAAATGTAATATTTCTTAAATTATTTTTATGAACCTGTAAATCACATTGTAATTTAGCTGTCTAAGCTACTTTATGTGTATTTTTTAATAATAATAATAATAATAATAATAAGTCGCATTTTTTTGTTCAGTAGCAGTTGTATTGGGACAAGGAACAAGATGAACTGGGTGCTTATAGATTTTTGAAACGTTGGAAAGACTCAATTATTTTCGGTTTCTATGTACTGAAAACACTTACGAGTTACAGGAAGAAATAAGCAAGAATCATGCAATGAATATTTTGTATTAATGTTTACAAAATGCATTCATTTCATACTTATAAGTATTGCATAAGTGATTAACGCTGTACATTAAGAGGGCACACTAATTTTAAGTCTTCAGCCCTTTTTCTTAAACTATTTGGAACACGACATGCATTAAAATGATATTCAGGATCGCGTAATATCGTTGTCCAACGTAAACCAAATTTCGCAATGCCCAGTCGTATACAATTGTCTTCTTTAGATTTAAAGCGAACACCTGAACGCCGTTTTGGTAATACGTGCGACGAAGTAGTGCAATGTCTTGGCAAACATTGTCTTCCTGAGATGACGACTGATGCTGCTTTTGGTATTCATTGTGAGAACTATTACTCCTGTGAAGTAATTTTTGCATGCACTGGCGTCCTCTCATCGCTACTTCTCGAGATCTTTTCTTTTGATAGTGAACACGTGCAACGTTAGAGCTATGCTTTTGGTCTTCAGATATCCATTTCTGTTCGTTTGGTAAAAGAACCTGTGCACTTCCCGTCTCGATAATCTGTCTGTATCTAGTAGGGTGAATGTATTTACCAATAGCTTCAAACACCAAAACACTGAAAACACCTGTAAGTTTCTGAAATTGTTTTCCATTTCGATTTACCAACACATACTCGCAAGTTGGCGTTAGGAGGGGTCGTACGTACTTTATATAATTCTCCAACAACTGGATGCTGCATTCGTCAAAATATACACTATCAAAACCGTACCTTTTTGCGGTCTTGAATAATTTCTGATCAACCATTCCTTCATTCTTTTTTGCACTTTCGAACATTAGCAAGGTTAGATGCTGATAGATCATTGGACGACAACCTTTGACTTTCAAGAACATATACGCTGCAACGAACCGAGTAGCAAATGTAACAACGCCAGTCTTGACCGAAGAAGGAGACACCATGCAATTTTCTAATACAGATTTGTAACGTTCCTCGTGAAATGGAATTAAAGATTGAACTTCGGAAAGGGTTGCCCAACTTCTGCGCGATTCCAGGGTCTCTATGTCTGATTCAGTTGTCCAATTTGATCTCATGTCCTTTGCTAAATACTTCCTTGCTCTTCTGATATACACCTCGGTAACGGCAAAGTTTTGAAGCACGGACGCAGGGGGACGATTAAATTTACGAAAATCCAGTAAGTCAGAAATACTTGCGACGTAAGAAATTTGTGCCGATTGTCCGAGGCCCCACTTTTCTTTTAAACTGTCTACGAATTTTGATAGCAATTGGGGACATCCCAAAGAGTAATCGATCAAATTAGGAGAATTTAGCACGTCTTCTTCGCCTTCGCGATTCTCGTCACAACAAAACTTTATAAACTTTAACGCTCTGCTAACTCTAATGTCCGATTGTTTCAGAGATTTGCCACCGCCGCAGCTGCTTTGAAGCCACTTGGAGAACGAGCGAGCAAAGTCATTGTGTGCAGAACAGCTCGGAACTGTTTTACACCCTTTTGCCTGAGTCAGTTCTGACTTTGAAGTCGACGAAAGGGAAACGTTGGGTTTCTCGTCAAAAAAAAATACCAAGCATGTTTTGTTTTCACATGTTTACGACAACCTCTTCGACTTTTAAATCCTGAATGTTCACATCCTGTTACTGGGCAATGGTCTAACCCGTCGCTGCCTTTAGCCAAATGCAATCGTCTCGGCTTTGTAAACGCGCCATCAACAGACTTCCAGTCTATTTGACCTTTTCTACGTGCAAACATATGAAACGCGAGAATGCTATCCGAAGAAAATTGGCTTGCTTTTTATATGGCATACTTTGTGTGCACAATGCATTTATAATATTGCATGCCGATCATTATTTATATTATTATTTTTATACACACGGTATTTCACTGCGTAAAATGTATTGTTAATTAATATGCCAAAGGGACAATAAGAGGGGAACAGAAACGGGGGGAACAATAAATGGGCAGCAACTACAAAAAGGGAACACCTGCATGTGCATAACAAATAGTTCCGTTTGTTTGAGGGATTCCTCGCGCGGAACATTTTTGTTCCTAAATAAGGAACAACAATTAACATTGTTCCTCATTCAAACCGTTCCGAATTTCGGAACGTAACTGAATTGGAACAATTAAGTTCACCTAGGAACAATTTGTTCCGTTTGAACTGTTGTTCCTCTTGAAATAGGAACGGAACACGTCATTTAGATGCGTTCCTAATAAGCTGTTTTAATCCATGCATACACCGTAAGAAAGCACTTATGCTTTCTTCTTTCACGCATTTTGTAATTCAAATGAGTTTTTCACGAGATTTAACATGCTCATAGCCTAGTTCTTCAGTCTAATCGAAATAATCCGTGCAATAAAGGGTTAATCATACACAATTAGGCCAATCGTGAAATTGTAAAAGGAACAATATTTAGGTATACGCATACTGGCCAGATCCAATTCTAAACAAATTCAAATTCAGCTCGGTCAGAGTAAAACCTTCATAACAGTAGTATGTAATAGAAGGGAACCAAAAATAAATATGTGTAACTTATAAGAAATTTAAAAGATTGACAGCATAAAAGTTAGAATTTGGTCAACTTTTCCCACATATGACAATTCCTAACTATGAAGGGTTCAGTTTTAAAACAGTTGTTTTTGACTGATAGAAGACTGATATAAAGATATCACTATAGCAAGTTGCTTTGCTTGAACAAAGCCTACTTCCTTTTTGATTATTAACTTTAATTTGGTTTTGAAAGCATGATGTGTAGAAGTAGGATTGTCATTGACTATAAAGCAACAATATTTAAGTAAGATGGCCCTTCATGTACAGAAAGAATAATTTATGGGACCAGCTAAGATGAGCATTTAAGTGCTGTATTAAATCCACATAGAAAATATCACACCAGGCAAGCACTGAGGGTAAATGCCATATACCACGCAGATTAGTATTCAGAAGGGTAAAACAGTAAAACGGTAATCGTGTTACGATGTAAGTTTGATTTAATGAATGTAAATATTCAATAGTGCGAGACACAAAGATCAAAACGCTCTGTATATTCAATAGTTGATTCAATATCCGCGGCAAAGAACGTTTATATTATGCGCGTTATTTAGCCTATAAACTTCTGTTACTGAAGTCTCCTTTTTACATCCCTTACAACACTGCGTTAATCTTTGCTGCCGATCGACAAAGAATGTTTTGTGTATACTGGATTAAAAGACATTTCCAAAGCTTCGCTCTTTCGAACTCCTTTCACTCCTTCGCATTGAAGGACAATCGTGAATATATAATTAGAGTGCAAAACCTACTTAGAGGACCCGGGTACAGTGACAAGTCCACAAGGTACAGCGACACGTCCATTTTGTGCGATTTATGGCAGGCATCTCACGCAAATTTTTTTTCTCACTCCCCGACACAGCTAACCCAAGCCAAATATGAATGCCTAATATAAATACATAAGAGATGCCTGCGGAGGAGGCTACATTGGACAAGCATTTGACGATTAAAACAACGTAGTTATCCATTTCAAAATATTTGACATCATAACCAAAGCGTGGTTAAATTTTCCCGGACTCTCCTAGCGCGGTTCCGAGCCCCAGCAATACGAAAAACGGTCTGCGATCCCTGGAATAGATATATCTAACCTTCTAAGAGAGATATATCTAAGAGTTATGTTGGCTTAATGTAAAATGTAGCCGAGAAATTCGAAGGTAAATTTTATGCAAATCAGGCGAAATCTTTATTCGCAGTTACAAAACTGTGGTTAGAAAAATGCAGCAAAATTTTTGACTCATAACTCATTGACTCATTAGACTCATTTCAACATTAATCTCCATTGCGACCGGTGCATGAAAATGATTGAAAAAGATTCTCCTTCGCTACAGTTAAAAAAGCGTAATTTTTCCATTTTTTTAGTTTTGCTACAAAAGTATCTCATTTTTAGACTATAAGTATAGACTCGGAGTTAAGTTGCTGTAATCATGAAAACTATAAGCTGACTTGTATTCGTATGCTGGTGGTTAAAACTTTTGAGTTTTGAGTTACGACATGCATGTGTAAAGATTGACTGTTGCGAGATCGGTCTGATTCTTACGTAATTTCTAAAAGCACTCTCGGTTTATTTTGCCAAAAACTACAAACATATTTCGTTTAGTTTCTACATTAAAAGGAGGAAAGTCATATGTTAATGTCAAGTTCGTATAAAGTTATTCTTATAGTATGCACTTGAAATTTATATCAATCGATAGAAATCTTTGCCTTGCCTAGCCACGCTATGTCTGTCACAAACACACCGCGTTTCTATGTTTTGAAATCCGGTTCCTGCTACACAAAAACAGTCTATCTAGCTTAGGTTTCTCATTCTATGCTGAGTCTCGAATGTGGACGCTTCCAAGAAAGCAAAGGTTTATGCTACAATTCTATTCGCATTGCGAGACAAAAAATTCTATCTTTATTCTACCTGGATCAAAGCTATATCTACGCGCATGATAGTTAAAGTTGGTGCGTCTGCAAACCAAAGTAAGTAAACAGATAATACGTTGTTTCAGTTAGCAATTGTCGCGCTAAGTGTTTCGATAAGCGCTGCTAAAATCGGTTTAGTTGTTGTATTGTATTGCATATGCTAATTATTAGTTTAATAAGTATAGCTCATTTATGTCAATTACCAAGTATACTCGTATTAATTTCATGTGATAGGTTACTATAGTTTGTCTGCTTATCATATTTTAGTTCGAAACGATGCAATATTCTCAATCAACTTATTCGACCCAAACCTGTATATATGCTGTTAATAAATTATCAAAATTCCTACGTCGAGTTCGTTTCATTCTACGCACCGCGTCTACCCCTGTAGATTTATTGGGAACTCGTTGACATTGAATTTCTGTCCCAGTGAAGCTACAAGATAAGCATAGCTGCTTTGGCAACCTTCATTTATTATGATTAATATGCTAATTACGATCAAGATAATCATAATGATCATCATAGCTGCCATGGCAACCATAATTTATTATGATTTCTATGCTACTTATGATCATGATCATCATAATGATCATCATGATTGCCATGGCAACTATAATTTATTATGATTAATATGCAAATTATGATCAAGATCATCATGACGATGATCGTGGTTGCCATGGCAACCATCATTATGTATATTATGCTAATTATGATGATGATCATCTTAATGATCATCATATTTGCCATTTAAACGATGGTTTATTAGGAATATTATGCTAATTATTATCAAGATCATCATAATGATCAGCATTTTTGCCATTGCAACCATCGTTTATAATGAATAATATGCTAATCATGACCAAGATCATCATAATGATCATCATAGCTGCCATGGCAACCATCAGTTTTTATGAATATTATGCTAATTACGATTATGATCATCATAATGATCATTATGGTTGCCATAGAAACCATAATTTATTTTGAATATTATGCTAATTATGATCATGATCATCATAATGCTCATCATAGTTGCCATAGCAACAATAATTTAGAATGATTATTATGCTACATGTGATAATGATCATCATAATGATCATAAATGTTGAAATGGCAAACCATAATTTATTATGATTAATAAGCTAAATATGATAATTATCATCATAATGATGATAATGGTTACCATATCAAGCATAATTTATAAAGAGTATTATGCAATATATGATCATTATGATCATAATGATCATCATGCTTGTCATGTAACCGTCATTTATTACGCTAAATTTGATCATGATCACCACAATGATCATCATGGTATCCATAGCAACCATAATTTATTATGATTATTATACTACTTATGACCATGATCATCATAATGATCATC